TATACCATTAACATATCCAATAGTCTTCACTGTTAAAGAAAAAAGGGGGACAATTCTGGTTTAATGTGATTCGAACATTTGAACTGTTGGATACAAACAGAAGGAAGATAGCTCATATATGAGACTTCAAAGGTCTTTTATTTTGAAACTGTACATCAGATTGTCCTGATTCTCTCTGAGTGACTAGATGGGGTGTCCTGCTATCACCCTGAAGTGAAATAAGTATTTGATTGACTTCGAATGACTCTTTGATTAAATAATAATCAAAATATAGATGGACAATAGATCTAATTTGAGATTTAGATCTTCAGAAAGTCATGTTATTTTAAGAGTGTTGTGAGATGGTGTCAACATCAATTGAAATTAGTCACCCAGTGGAAATGTCAGATATGTATTCATAACTGTATCCTGACATTTTACATTCACTCAGTTATAATGTGGTAGTTATACGTAGTTTGTTTTAAGTTATTATTGATCACATTATATAGTACATCATTCTTAATTTAAGCTCCAGTATATATGAATATGTTTGGTGTGTTTTTTAGGTAGCCTATATTTCTTATTGACCGAGTAAACGCTTTTATTTTGAAGGCAGTTTTTACAGGCTTCTACCGTAATCCATAGGCAATACAACGTGCTTTTGACTGTGTTTTCCGAAGTGGGGGCTGGCTTGACCACAGTCTGTAGTGTTTACCCAGTGTTTCCTGACATGAAACGTTTTATTTCACCTTGCTATGTGTTTTTAACGTATATTAAAAAACGGGGACAGTTTCAACCGGGGACAGGCCAATGCAAACGGGGACTGTCCCCGGAAAACGGGGACGTCTGGTCACCCTGGCTGTATTGTAAGGATAGTAAACTGTAACAACAAATACTCGAGCTAGCGTCAACTGCTAACAGCTTTGTCGTGTTTCCAAATACTGTGTGTTTAAAAATAAGGGACATTAATGATTTGTTGCACCAAGGCAGGACAAGGATAAGTCACACATGTGTTTGAGATGAAATTATGTGAAACACAGCATCAAGTTTTAACTATATAAATGCCAAGATATATTTAATATAAGCATACAGGCTAAAGTACTGGCTGCCGATCATATTCCCATTAAAAGGTCTGTCAAATTGCCTAAGGATATAACTTCCTTTGTGTCTTAGTTTCTTCTTCTATTTGAGTCTCTGTCTGTCAGCAGCGTGCGGTGAGTAAACAAATGGAAATTGTGAAAAACCCCAGGACTTATTGAACTGAATCCTTTCATCTCTCAGTGAAGAGTCAAAAAGGCACACAGTCATTGTTTCAAAGGAAGCTTTTGCCCTTCTTCATCACCCTTTTCTTTACTCCTTAGTCCCTCTTTTCTCATTCAGTTGGCGGACTTCGGTCCCGGGAAAACAAAGGATCTTTAGTATAGTTCAACGTGCTGAATTATTGACTTGGTTTTACAAGAAAGAGGCAACACACGGCTTTGTTTCTCACAGCATGGCGAGGAGAGTGTCTCTGGGTTCTTCATGTGTCGTTTCAAATGATCATATCATTATTTAAAACATATAGTCTCATACTCTGATTGCCTTTTATAATGTTACATTGTATGTGTAGTCTTGTATGTGTTTAACAGACGCATGTGTTAAGGATTTACATTGCAGGAGGGCAAACGGAAGTAAAAGGGGGATTTGCAAAAGGTTAAGGACGAGGGGGTTTAATGGTTTAATGGTGGGATGTTTAGATGATGCCTATGGGAATTTAAGGGTGGGACCAGGTGGATATTCACTACTATAAAGTGTGACTGTAAGACTGTAAGCTGTGTTCTGGGTGCCGGATTTCTCTATCCTCTGAGGATGAAGTAGCTCTGTTCCTACATTTGGGATCGATTTCACTTTATGTATATTGACTTTCTTTATTACTTTATTAAATATAACAAAAGACAAACTTCGTCCATGAATCATTTATCAGTTTTTCTTAAAGGTCCCCTATTATACTGTTTTCATCAATATATTATAGGTCTCAGATATATACAAACCTGTCTCTGAAGCGTTTGGCTCCAAACACCAAACAGATCATTGCAGCATTACCCATAATCCCCTCTGTTTCAGCCCTGTTTCCAAAGTGCTGATTCTCTGTCTGTTACTTTAGATGAAAATAAGGAGCCCCTCCCCACGCCCCTCTGAGAGACATTTGGTTACAAAGAACTCAAAGGTGCTCTAGGAGGAGATTCAGGTGATAAGGGGGGGGGGGGGTTACCTTGGTTGCTGATTTGCTAATGGTTACACAAGACAAAACATCGTTATGACATCATAAAGTGGCCAAAATCTGATCAGCTCATTTTCAGACAGGTTTTTATAGAAATGGATCAAAAAGAGAGAAAATCTTTGTTCCTGAAACTTTCAGAGTCTCTTTCCACATGTTGATGTAGAAGAGACATGAAGAAGAGGGGACACATGTGGATGTAGAAGAGACATGAAGAAGAGGGGACACATGTTGAGGTAGAAGAGACATGAAGAAGAGGGGACACATGTTGATGAAGAAGAGACATGAAGAAGAGGGGACACATGTTGATGTAGAAGAGACATGAAGAAGAGGGGACACATGTTGATGTAGAAGAGACATGAAGAAGAGGGGACACATGTTGATGTAGAAGAGACATGAAGAAGAGGGGACACATGTTGATGAAGAAGAGACATGAAGAAGAGGGGACACATGTTGATGTAGAAGAGACATGAAGAAGAGGGGACACATGTTGATGTAGAAGAGACATGAAGAAGAGGGGACACATGTTGATGTGGAAGAGACATGAAGAAGAGGGGACACATGTTGATGTAGAAGAGACATGAAGAAGAGGGGACACATGTTGATGTAGAAGAGACATGAAGAAGAGGGGGGACACATGTTGATGTAGAAGAGACATGAAGAAGAGGGGACACATGTTGATGTAGAAGAGACATGAAGAAGAGGGGACACATGTTGATGTAGAAGAGACATGGAGAAGAGGGGACACATGTTGATGTAGAAGAGACATGAAGAAGAGGGGACACATGTTGATGTAGAAGAGACATGAAGAAGAGGGGACACATGTTGATGTAGAAGAGACATGAAGAAGAGGGGACACATGTTGATGTAGAAGAGACATGAAGAAGAGGGGACACATGGTGATGTAGAAGAGACATGAACAAGTGGACTTTGCATAATAGGTCCCCTTTAATAATTTCCTCTCCTCCACAAATTGGAAATGTAAAAACGCATTTCTATCCCCTCTCTCTTTCGCTGCTCTGTCAGATTACTCTGGAAGGCTTCATGTATTTTTGGGACGGATTTAAAGGTCAATCTCACGCACAACAGTTAGCTTGTGTTATTTTTATCCCCAGCAATATGAGGCTTCAACTAATTCATAACTGTGAGCTAATCCTGGAAACATCCATGCATACTGTGTGTATCAGCTACACACCACGGCTCATTTGAAATGCAAAAGCTTTATAAAGATTATCATACGGCAGTCATTTGCATTTCTCTGCCTGCCTCATGTCCTCATTGCATTTGATCTGTAAGCTGAATCAATGTTTTAATAAATAATACATGTTAAGTGTGACAAGGGTTTCTACAGTGTTGGCCAACAGTAGCGAAATTACTGCTTTTGATTATACAGCTTCGCACAAATGTGGTCATTAATTAAAGAAGTTGGAATAGGGCGAGGCGATATGAAGAAAATCAAACACTTATATGTTGTCCTGATACCTCAATACCGATATTTAGATGATATTTCAGTCATTTTTGCTGACATCAAATATTCACAATGTGGATTTAATTACTAAAAGGCAAATAATACAATCTTTGGAAAACAGTCTAGTACAGGGGTATTCAAAGTGTGGGAAGGTTTGCCTCCCCTCAGAGAACATAAGAGCAGCCGCGCCCCCCCTACTAATTATTATTGCTATTATTATTGTTGTTGTTGCTGTAATGCAGGGGTATTCAATTGCATTTCAAAGAGGTCTAGTCAGAGAAAACGCTGTCACCTCTCTCACTTTAGGTAACTTCAATAAAAAACTATCCATGTTCGCATAAAGTTAGCTGAAGTTAACCAGCTAGATTTCACTGTTTCTCGTTATTTTTCTCTCTCGCTGCGCCTCCCCTGAAACTCTCTGGTGCCCCCCCCCCCCCCCGGGCGCCACGCCTTACACTTTGAAAACCGCTGGTCTAGTAGATTCATAACATTTCAAAAATGCAGTTTTAATATAGACTTTAAACCAAGAAAAAATACAACACTAAGGATATCCGGAATCTTAAATGATATCCACTCTCATATCATGACAACAATTGAATATTGATATATTGCCCAGCCCTACTTTGGAAGTATTTTTTATGTATTTTAGTGCATACTCTAAATCGAAAGTACTGCACTAGGGCTGCAGGATTTGGGGGGAAAATCCGTAATTGCGAATAGTTTTACTGATATTGCGATTGGACTCATTTTTATTGAAAGATGTATTCAGAATGTTCATAGTTGGACAAAGATGTTTTATTACGTCTGTTGAATATGATTTGTTGTTTGGGACATCTATGCAGCACAATAATCCATAACTCTAAATAAATATTGACTCTACACAACAAATAATGTGCCTCCAGCGATTTGAATATTGCACTAGTCCATATTGCGTTTTGATTAAACATGAATACATTGTGCAGCCCTATCTATGGCACATAATTAGAATTTGTTATGATGGTTTCCAGTGATGGACTAAAGTGTAAATGGGTTTCTATGCTACAAAGAGCCCATTAAAAGGTATTGAGCATTAGCATCAATAACAACCTTGCTTTCATCTTCATATTTCCCTTCCTCTCCTCTCCTGCTGTTTTATTTTCAGTCTCTACTTTAATTCTCAGTCTGAATGTACGGGCCGCAGCAGGCGTCTCGTTTGAACCTGAGCAGTTGGTCTCCCACGGTTTTTAATACCGTAATAACTCCTGATTATGAACGTGTCTCACAGCTAACGGGTTCTTCCTCTCCTCTCCGCTGCAGGTTATCTATGCGCTGAACACGAAAAACGACGAGCACGAGGCGGCCATCTCCACGCTGAAGGAGGCGCACGAAGAGGAGGTGCAGCAGATCCTCTCCGAGACCAGAGAGAAGATACTACAGGTCTTTACATTTAATGTAATTAATTCAAAGACACTGTCGTCTTATTTTATCATACATTATCAAGTTCATGTTTACTCAGTTATATCATCCGTCATTAGGTCATAAGAAAGGTCAGAATAGTTTACTTACAGTACTAACTGTCAATATACAGTTTAAAAGGAAACAGCATACCCTCAGTTTGAAGATATTTTAAAGTAGAGTAAAAAAGGTTTGGTCGATTTAAACATTAGTATATCACGTTTTCAGATATTTTACAAAGTTTTAAAACAGTGTTACAATACTTAAAGTAGTCATTAACAAGTCCTGAATTAAACGATTTTAAGAAAGTCAAAAGTAGCATTACTCATTTACTCCAAAAATAGTATTAACATTATCATTTGTATATCTATATACATATCTATTTAATTATTTTAACTACTGTATATACTGTTTTTTAGTTTAGTTCGAACATAATTTATTTTATATTTTTGTGGATTACATTTTCTATTGTGTTGTGTTCGAAAGCTGTTACCGTTCATGGTGTTCGCGGATCAATTTTGACCCATGATTTATCTCAGTCCAAAACACACACAAAAAATGACTATCATCCAATATTGTTTTAACTACATCATAACTAACTTATAATGCATTCAAAACCGTACAATCCTGTTGTAATTTAATGTTATGGCCCCAAAACACATTACACCACATATTGTGCATGTGTGTGTTCAGGTTCAAGAGTTAGTGTACATATTCTTTGAGAAAGGTTGAGTTCCCGTGGGGGGGAGGGGGGGAGAGGGAGGGGAGGCCAGGTGCATGTTGCGAAAGATTATTGTTACAGTTGATGAAGGGGGAGGGGTGTCTAAAGTCAAAGATGAATTTTGATTGGGCCAAATTTGACCTCGAGTCACCCAAAACAATTCTGCCGGGTCTCCCCAGACCCCAACACCAAATGATACACTTTTTTTTTTAGAGACCTTCAGACTTGGCAAAAATTGTCCAAATCAGTTTCGTAGTGTTCATATAGCTGTTGTGGAGGATATCATGAAGCCTTGTTCAGATACAAAAAACTAGAGCGTAGTTATTATATCATTTTAACTTGAAACGGGTCAGGGGAGACCCGAACACAACAAAAGGGTTCAATCTGAATCCCACAAAACACTAAATGTATCACATGACTGTAGTTCAACAATATGGTAAATGTGTGTACAAGTACCTCCAAATTGTTCTAAAGTGCAGTATGTGTGTTCACGTATCCTACTTTCTATCACTGGGTAAAAATGGGCATTAAGTTAAAAAATGAAAATCGAATGAGTGTCTGTTTCCAGGGAGGAATACGTTAATGCATATTACAGCAGTACTTTAATAATGATTGAAAACTCATTATTTTATTCGTAACTTCTTAAGGTTATTCTACATGAGCGAGTGCAGCAAGAGAACCGTGCTCTTTTGGCATAACTAGGCTTTGAGTCAACTACTTATTTTAAGCGTGAAGTATGAGGCTCTTTAGAAATGAACTCCACATGCAGAGTATCGCTGTATATATTTCACTCGTGTGTTTCTACATAGCAGCGGATCCACTGAGAGCCGGAGAGATCATCAATATTCACCAGCTGAACCTTAATTATTCAGCTCATGTCTCCTTATGGAAATTACTTACTTCCCTGACAGCATTGTGACCAACTTTAAAGAGCTGAACGTATATATGGAGATATTTACTGTACATGCTATACTTCTCTGCAAGCTCGCAAGGCTTTGAGTATCACTGACTCGAATCTAATTACATCTAACTGTATTTATATTGCAGCTTTCATACACATGAGGAAACGCAAAGTGCTTCACAAACCAGAAACAAAAAACTATTTTAAACGATGCTAAACCTCCCTTTCCAGGTTATAAATACAGTAACACATAGCTTTTCAATTAATACTCCAGTTCGAAACCCGCTCCCGCCCCACTGCGTCAGGCCGTTGTGTCCTTGGGCAAGACACTTCACCCGAATTTGCTCCTGTGGGTATTGTCCACAGTAGATGACCATTACATGTATGATCTGTATGTGTAATGTGTATTTCTAAAGCGCTTTGAGAGTCTTTGATAAAGCGCTATAATAAATACAAGGATTATTATTATTATTATTATTAATAAACACCAATGGACCAACCAACACTTTGCATAAGAATAAAATAGTAAATTAATAATTAATACAATTCAGTTGAAAGCCAAATATAAAAGGAGAGTCTTGAAGATGTGCATATTTCATCGTGTACATCTAACTTTCATTAAGTATCATATTTAGGGCTGCACAATTACTCAACATACAGTATACTGAAATGGTATTATGGTCTAGTGCAATATCCAAATTGCAAGATATCATTTTAAATGTATTAATTTCTTGCCTAAAATGGTTTTACAGTATAAAGAAACTCCTTGTTTGGCACAGATCCGTTTCATAAAATCATAATGTGAATAACATATTAAGGAGAATTCCCTATATTATCGCTAATCATATCCCTAATGCAATATCAGTCAAATCCAAATTGTGGAGCCCCTATCATGATGACCCATTCAATTAAAGTTAAAGATGGTTGCCGAGGAGTCTTTCGTACTAAAACTAAGATTGTATATTTTGACGCTTTTTTCACATCGCAACATTTAATATCTATGCCCTTTCTTACAAACTACTGCATTTCACACTCATGATTGTGTATATATATGTGTGTGTGTGTGTGTGTGTGTGTGTGTGTGTGTGTGTGTGTGTGTGTGTGTGTGTGTGTGTGTGTGTGTGTGTGTGTGTGTGTGTGTGTGTGTGTGTGTGTGTGTGTGTGTGTGTGTGTGTGTGTGTGTGTGTGTGTGGTGTGTGTGTGTGTGTGTGTGTGTGTGTGTGTGTGTGTGTGTGTGTGTGTGTGTGTGTGTGTGTGTGTGTGTGTGTGTGTGTGTGTGTGTGTGTGTGTGTGTGTGTGTGTGTGTGTGTGTGTGTGTGTGTGTGTGTGTGTGTGTGTGTGTGTGTGTGTGTGTGTGGTGTGTGTGTGGTGTGTGTGTGTGTGTGTGTGTGTGTGTGTGTGTGTGTGTGTGTGTGTGTGTGTGTGTGTGTGTGTGTGTGTGTGTGTGTGTGTGTGTGTGTGTGTGTGTGTGTAAATCAGATGCAGATTCCAAATACTTTGCATGATTTGACCCACAGTACAAGAGTAAGATCAGCGATGAGATGGACCTGAAGAGGAGGATCCAGTCTCTGGAGGAATCCATGGAGCTGCACGAGAGGATGAAGAGGCAGGCCCTCGCCGAGTTCGAGAGCTACCGTCAGAGGGTGGAGGACATGCAGATCTGCACCGAGGCTCAGGTGTGTGTGTGTGTGTGTGTGTGTGTGTGTGTGCCAAGCATGAGGCTACAGATGTCACAGCTGCAGGTAATCTGTACTGATGTCTGTTTCTGTCTCCTGTTGTGAGCTTAAAGAGTTTCTCCTTCCTGTGTGCGTGCTTGCGTCTGGACATTTAACTTGTTGCGCAGGAGCAGAAGTATTCAGTGTTTCTTTTTAGACAGAGGTTTGAGACCCTTTTGTTTACATTCATCCCACAAAATGCACCTCAGACGGCCAGTTAGTTTCAAATATATTTAAAATCTGCTTCGCCTCCAGCACAATGCCAATTCTTTTTACAGAGCTCAGTGTTTCCCCTACCATTGTCCCCGCCAATGGAGCCCCGCGCCCCCCCCTGAAATTCAAGGTGTTTAAAAAATATATATCCTTATGCCCCCCCCCCCCCCCGCTCAGGCAGCACCCCCCCAACGCAGGAAACCTAGGGGAAACACTGGAGCTAGATACAAATATTTTTCATTTTTCTAACTTTCTTTGTTTGCAAAGTCCTATAGAATTGAATGGAAATATTATTTGTATGCATATATGACTTGCTTCGCTTTTTTCAAATCCCAGTCTGTCACCTCAAAGTGCTTTACAGGCATACAAACTTCGAAAGTAAAACATTTGGAAATTCTTAGGGAATGGCTAGTATATGTACAGGTTACTGTATGAAGTGTGTTTGTACCTGAGAGGACAGAGAGGATATCTGCAGGATGCATTTTCAAATTGTGGCGTTTTTGTTGTATTTCCAACAAAACTGCAAACCCTTGGGAGCCACTTCAATTACAATCTGCTGCTATTGAAGTGCTGTTATTGAATTTATGCTCAATACCGCCCAAAATAAACTGCCTCCTCCAGCTTTTTAACTTTGCTAACAATAGCAACAATACTGATGTTAACTCCCACTGATGGGGACATAACCGTAAAGGAAAGTGACTGAGAAACAAACTCACATTGTTCCCTGGTATTGTATAATTGAACACCTTGTTCTCCTGCAGGAAGTGTCAGAGGAGTAGTGTGTTATTCCTCTGGAGAACATACGGTGTAAACACTTACAACATACAAGACAGCCAGTGTGTGACCTTTTCTGTGTGTGTGTGTGTGTGTGTGTGTGTGTGTGTGTGTGTGAACATTGTAACAGATCGATACAGTAGCCGACATAATTGTATTGATGTATGTACAGAGGGTAGAGGAGCTGCAGCGATGTGTTCAAGTACAAGAAAAAGAGATGGGAAAATTGACAAGACTGAGGATTTTAAGTGACAATGAATGCAAGAACACGCACCCACACCTAGGTGTTTGTAGTAGTGTTGCAACACAAGTTTTAACAGATCAATGTCAGCTTGTATATCTGTAACTTCATATATCAATAGCTTTGAGAAAAATCTGATTTAGTGTCAGTGTCACGATCTGCCTGTATTGTATTTTGTCTTGTCTTGTTTCATGTTTTATTTTGAAAGGTCTTCACCTCCTGTCTTGCCTGTTTCTGTCTGCATTGTGTCTTGTTTAAATCTGTCTGTGGTTCCCGGTCGTTAGTTTCCCTGGTGTGTCTAATTTACCCGATTGTGTTCACCTGGTGTCCCTGTGTTTTCTCCTCCCTCCTCACCTGTGTCTTGTTTCTGTGATTAGTCTTGTGTGTATTTAAGTTCTGGTTTTTCTGTCTGTCTTTGTCGGTTCGTCTTTTGTCATGACTAGTTCGTCGGTGAGTGTTCTGTTTTGTCTTTGTTTAGCACCTAGCCTTGAAATAAAGGAATTCTCATTTTAATCTGCATTTGGGTCCTACCTGCTTCACACACCGTGACAGTACGAACCGACCTAATAAATGGACCCAGCAGATGATCCATGGGAGGTAGAATTACAGCATTTTACCTTCTATCTGGCTTGCTGCTTCGATTGGTGGAAGGGAGCGTCCAGTGTTCGGCAGAAGAGGGCCGCTCTGGGAGAGGCGCACCGGTTGGCAGCAGAGAAACTATGTTTTGTGGAGTTCTTACCTGACTGGATTTTGGACTTCCTTGAAACATGTGATTCCCGGCCTGCTAGCCCCAGGCATGCTAACTCCATGTCTCCCAATTCCCAACCTGGCACCATACGCCTTGGTGGGTTCCGCCTGAAGTCAACCCGTGCTTCTGCCCCAGTTCCTGCTCCTGTCCAGGAGTTGTATTCCGGAACTCGTCTGGCTTATGGAGGTCCACGGAGTATTCAGGAGGCTGCTAAGAGGAGTCGTCGCAAGGCCAGGCTAGCAGCCCGAGCCCCAGCAGCCATGGTTCCGGCCCCTGTTCTGGCCCCAGCAGCCATGGTTCCAGACCCAGTTCTGGCCCCAGCAGCCATGGTTCCAGCCCCAGTGCTGGCCCCAGTAGCCATGGTTCCGGCCCCAGCAGCCATGGTCCCGGCCCCTGTTCTGGCCCCAGCAGCCATGGTTCCAGCCCCAGTGCTGGCCCCAGCAGCCATGGTTCCAGACCCAGTTCTGGCCCCAGCAGCCATGGTTCCAGCCCCAGTGCTGGCCCCAGCAGCCATGGTTCCGGCCCCAGCAGCCATGGTCCCGGCCCCTGTTCTGGCCCCAGCAGCCATGGTTCCAGCCCCAGTGCTGGCCCCAGCAGCCATGGTTTCAGCCCCAGTGCTGGCCCCAGCAGCCATGGTTCCGGCCCCAGCAGCCATGGTTCCGGCTTCAGTACCGGCCCTGGAAGCCATGGGCTCGACTCCAGTTTCGGCTACAGGGCTGGCTCCCCAGCCGACGCCAGCTCCCCGAGTCTTGTCGGCGTACCGGCCGACTCCAGCACCTCGTCTCCTGCTGGCTCCCCAGCCGACGCCAGCTCCCCGAGTCTTGTCGGTGTACCGGCCGACTCAGCACCTCGTCTCCTGCTGGCTCCCCAGCCGACGCCAGCTCCCCGAGTCTTGTCGGCGTACCGGCCGACTCAGCACCTCGTCTCCTGCTGGCTCCCCAGACGACGCCAGCTCCCCGTGTCCTGTCGGCGTACCGACCGACACAAGTCCCCTCTCAAGTCCCCTCTCAAGTTCCTACCCGAGTCCCCTCTCCAGTTCCCTCTCAAGTCCCCTCTCGAGTTCCCTCTCAGGTCCCCTCTCGAGTTCCCTCTCGGGTCCCCTCTCGAGTCCCCTCTCCAGTCTCCTCTCGAATCCTTTCTCGAGTCCCCTCTCAAGTCTCCTCTCCAGTTCCCTCTCAGGTCCCCTCTCGAGTCCCTTCTCGAGTCCCCTCTCTAGTCACCTCTCAAGTTCCTACCAGAGTCCCCTCTCGAGTCCCCTCCTTTAGTCCCTCCTCTAGTCCCTCCTTTAGTCCCCTATCTAGTTCCCCTCGCGAGTCCCCTCTCAAGTTCCCTTCTCTAGTCCCTCCTCTAGTCTCTCCTCTAGTCCCCTCTCGAGTCACCTCTCTAGTTCCCCTCTCGAGTTCCCCCTTGGTTCCCCTCTCGAGTCTCCTCTCGAGTCACGTCTCAAGTCCCTACCCAATGTCCTGGTCCGTTGGAGGTTCCGCTGGGGGTCCTGCCAACTCCATGTCCTGTCCCGTTGGAGGCCCCGCCGACTACTCTCCTGCCGGGGATCCTGCCAACCCTTTGTCCTGTCCCGTTGGAGGTCCCGCCGTCTACTCTGCTGCCGGGGGTCCTGCCAACCCTTTGTCCTGTCCCGTTGGAGGTCCCGCCGTCTACTCTCCTGCCGGGGGTCCTGCCAACCCTTTGTCCTGTCCCGTTGGAGGTCCCGCCGACTGCTCTACTGCCGGGGGTCCTGCCAATCCCGTGTCCTGGTCCTTTTCCGTGGGGGATCCTGCCGAGGCCTGTCCCACCAGCTCCGACACCGGTTCCTGCCCGGCCTCCGGAGCTGTCTGGTCTTCGCCCTCGAGCCCGGCCCTCTGAGAGCCGCAGTCTTCACCCTCGATCCCGGCCCCCTGAGAGCCACGGCCTTCGCCCTCGAGCCCGGCCCCCTGACTTTCCCCGCCGCGGTCCTCGCCCTCATGCTCGGCCCCCTGAGTTCGCCCACGATGGCCTTCGCCCCTCCATAACCCCCACCTTGGACTCTGTCTTGCCCCCGGGCCGTCCGCCCGAGATCCCTTCCGGGTCCTCCGCGGTGCTCTTGGGTTGTCAGCCCAGACCCGTCCTCCGGACCCCCTCCACCCACCCTGGTGGCCCTAGTTTTGTTTCTTGTTTAAATCTGTCTGTGGTTCCCAGTCGTTAGTTTCCCTGGTGTGTCTAATTTACCCGATTGTGTTCACCTGGTGTCCCTGTGTTTTCTCCTCCCTCCTCACCTGTGTCTTGTTTCTGTGATTAGTCTTGTGTGTATTTAAGTTCTGGTTTTTCTGTCTGTCTTTGTCGGTTCGTCTTGTGTCATGACTAGTTCGTCGGTGAGTGTTCTGTTTTGTCTTTGTTTAGCACCTAGCATTGAAATAAAGGAATTCTCACTTTAATCTGCATTTGGGTCCTACCTGCTTCACACACCGTGACAGTCAGGTTATTCGTACCATTTTCCATTCATCTGAACATTTTCAACTTGTGTTTTCAGGTACAAATTGCCACTAATAGTAATTGCAAGTCGCTGATTGTGTAATTATCCGCTGCCTTCATAAATGAAACGCTAATTTCAGACCGTGCAGGCAAATTAAATGAAAGGGGTGAACTTGTTTATGTAAATCTGGCCCTGAGAGATGTTTATCATTTCTCACGCCTGCTGGTGAACATGTGAATGTAGTGACTGGTATTGAAGATCAATATGAAAGTGCCTCACGAAACTAAAGTCCACTTGTGTTCCCCATTTATATGTTTCATTTGTGTCCACTTGATTGTCTCCTCCATGATTTCCTGTTTGTGTTTTTATCATGCTTTGTTGCCTATTAGCGTTTTCTTTATTTTTTAACAAATTGTACGGTGTCCTTGGGTGTCATGAAAGGCGCCTAAAAATAAAATGTATTATTGTTTATTTTATTATCATTTTCTTTTATTCTTCATCAGTTATTACTTTATGGTGTTTAGATAGTAGAAAGTAAGTAGAAAACACAGGACATTTGTTACTTAAAATGTCTAATAAGTTGTTCGCCTGTTCAGTCCATTCATGTCTTTTATATTACACCAAGTTCACTAATGTTTCCAAGTAAGCCGTTTTGTCAATTACCATCTGTGGGATAGATGACAATTGTGTATTTAAAAAATGATTGTCATATTCCCGTCTCTCCCTCAGCACACGCAGCGGGTGGTGTCCATGTCCCGGGAGGTGGAGGAGATGCGGCGGTCCTTCGAGGAGAAGCTGCGGACGTTCGGCTCGGCGCAGACGCAGTTTGAGCAGGAGAAGAAGGCGGCTCTGGAGGAGCTGAAGGGCCAGCACCGGCAGGAGGTCCAGGAGCTCCTGCGCAGCCACCAGAGCCAGAACGCTGACTACAGCAAGGACCAGGAGAAACTGGTACAGCTGCACAAAGCCGAGGTGAAGCAATAACTGATCCAAAGGGTATATACAGTATCTATATATATATATATGAACATAAATGAAAGTGAAGTGGTGGCACCTGGAAGACATGTGGACAGTCTCCTATGCAAATCACTACCATTTAATCAGCTTAAATTAACTTTAATATTTAATATGTTCATGTTTTCGTTTTTTATTATTACTAATACAGTTATGATTTATTTTTTCTTAATCAGAGTGGAGAGAGAAATATCCCTGTGAGGGATTAACAAAGTATGTCTTCTTCCTCTCAGGTGGACTCCCTGACGGAGCGGGTGGAGGAGCTCAAACAGGACAAGAAGAGACTGGTGGAGGAGTACGAGGCCAAACTCAGCAAGGTACAGTACTGAGTATTATTATATATATGCAGTGATCAAAACAGGTTTATTTGTATAAAGAAATCTAAATGCATGGCAGTATAGTCAGTCCTGCACGCTGTATGAGATGGTAAACCTCAGTAAATGTGTTTTCTAATTCAAAATCAGTGAGAGATTCACCTGTAATAACTTGCATCGATTACAAAAAAGCCACACTTCAAAGGAGAAAAATGCTCTGAGTAATGGTTACAAAATAACTGAGATTATATTTATTGGAAGCGCTTTGTTGACCTTGCTGAAAGTGGAAGCTGTGATCTGCAGACGGCGTACAGCGGGAGCACAACGGCTGCATTTAGAAGCTATTCATTTCAATAAAAAGCTCTCCTCTCTCCGACAGTCAGCCAAGACTTCTTGGCCTCTGCTTTTCACTCGCGTTGATTATTTTCGCATAAGATTGCATTTTGATGAGAAAGCTTTTCATCCGTCCAAAATGTTTTCCAATCGAATGCCCAGTTTATAATAAAGAGGGAAATGTCAAAACACAGAGAGTCGGTATCCGTGCTATTTGCTTTATCAGAATCAGAATCCCTTTATTAGTCCCACAGATTGGGGGAAATGCACATTGTTACAGCAGAAAGGAGCAGCTTAATGTGACCTAAGAAGCATGCTTAAAAAAGTATTAAATATTAAAAAAAATACAATAAAAAAAAAAGTTACACAATTTACAAAATATACATCCTGTACCAGTTCTGAGGATTTAGCAGCCAGGCGTATATTGCACAGTTTTTAACGGCATCTATATAAATATTGCACATAGTTGGTATTTAACAACAAGTCTGTGTTGTTGTGTGTGTGTGGGGGGGGGGGGGTCTAATAGGGGCCGTGGTGGTAGGCGTGGTATTTTTCACATGATATTGCATTCGGATGAGAAAGCTTTTCACCCGTCCAAAATGTTTTCCAATCGAATGCCCAGTTTATAATAAAGAGGGAAATGTCAAAACACAGATAGAGCCGGTATCCGTGCTATTTGCTTTATTTGTCATACCTCTATAAATCTGATTGAATTAAGTAGTTTTCTCACACCTGTCTCTCGTCTCCAGTCCCAGGCGTTTTACGAGCGCGAGCTGGAGGCCATGAAGAGGACTCAGCAGCTGACGGCCGACAACCTGTTGGCATGGAAACGCACCGAGAGCGAGCTGCGGCGGGAGTTTCAGACTCAGGAGGCGGCGCTGCAGAAAACGCTCGGGAAGCTGAGGCTGGAGCTGGCCCGCGTCACGGATGAAGCGCGGGAAAACCGGGACAAATCCCACAAACTGCAAGCGTCCCTGCACAACGCCGACAGCAACGTCAAGGTGAGATTAACAATAATAATAATAATAATAATACATTTGATTTATATAGCGCTTTTCCTGGTGCTCAAAGCGCTTAAACTCCAAACAGTGATTCATTCATCCAGACACGTGCTTTTACTTTTTATGTGTGCGCTTTAAAGGCTAGACAGGATGGGGAGGGATAGTGCAAAAGTACTACAACATCCTGTCATTTAATGCAGTGGTTCCCAACCATTGTTCCCAAGAGCCCCCCCAAATGACTCCTGTTGGAAGTTGCGCACCCCCCCCCCACACACACACACACACAAGGTACAACAGCGGTAATTAAAATGTCAAAGTCTCAAAATGTTACAACTACTGTCAAGTATTTTGTTAAAGGAGGATGAAAGCGTAATTAAGGAGCACTATTGGAGTGGCTTTGATGGTTATTGGACTCAGGATTAATTTATTTGGATTCCCGCTGTATGAAGAAATTAAAGGACGACGCAAGTGGAAAAAATTCATAAAGGGATTAAACTGTTTAAAACACATGCTCAAAGTAAGCCGGACTTTGCCGATGTGTTTATGTGGATTCAAAAGTCGTAAATAATCTACAAAATGGAGGAGAGCGATCTGATCGGAGCAACTGTGACAAATAATCCAACTGAAACCGGCATGGACAATGACTATGTTTTTAAAAATGCGCTTATCCAGAAAAGCCTGGTTTGGACACTTTACGCGCAGAAGAAACATTTCTATTAATGAAAGAACTATACATTTCTGTCTTTTTATGCCTTTAATAGCTACTAACTTGAATTTGTATTCAAATAAATAAATAAATAATTATTTTTTTAATTGTAATGTAGAGACAAGGCATTTAGTGACAATCATGTATTGCGTTACAACTATATGTAAAAAAAAAAGTAAATATGATATTTGGCCTCAAACCATCTGAGGCCTAGCTCCCCCCCTGCGATCTTTGGCGCCCCCCAGGTTAGGAACCACTGATTTAATGGATGTCTAGGATTTCTTTAAGAAAATAAATATGTTAATAATTTAGTTTTTGGGAGAAGGGGTGGGATTAAATAAGTGTAAACTTCTTCCCACCCCTTTTCGGATGTGTAATTAAGTTGATCATTTGTTTATATATTATTTAGAGTCAGTAATATTTTTGTTAATCAATTTGACACTGCTTAAGTTTGTATAGTATAATAATTCTCATGTTTCATTTAATTAATATTATTTTTTGTTCGTATTATTTGTTTTTACACATTCGAAATAAATCAAAGGAAATCAAATAAAAAGAAAACTAGTTGTATTCAGATTTTGAAGTTTATCCTGACTTTATTTCCAATTTTTTTTTATCGACAGCTTGCAAAATGTGTCCTCTGTCATAGAGGATGAAATGGTTGCATAAGATATATTGGTCAATGGGATACAAAAATAAATAAATGGGTCACAGTTTAAATTGATGGTCTGGTGTTCAGAATTCACTGTAGAGATTAAGTTCACCAAACTGTCTATTTCTGACATTTACACCTTAAATATCCAGCTTTTTTTCACTTAAAATCTGCATCTGCATATACAGTATTATAATTCAGAACATATCATAGTAGACCTCAAGCATGCTTTGAGAACTTTATTCATCTCATAAATCAAAAATATTTGTTGAATTTCAACCATTACAGAAAATAAATATTTACTGTATCTCAACTGATCCTTGGTACCTTCATGTATCACTTGTACGTTATGAATATGGGAGAGTGGGACCCCTTTATGTTTGTGTATTGCACATTTGCAAACACACACACACTAGCGGACACACATCCCAGCCACCAGTTTCAACTCCATTCTGCAAAATAATACTTTGAACATGCAATTAAACTAATGCTGTCAAAATTATCGCGTTAACGGTGGTAATTAATTGTTTTAATTAATTGCGTTAAAATATTTAACGCATTTAATGCAGAATGGCACGCCCCATACATCCCATCTCATTACATGACAGCCCTAAATTAAACGTAACACTATGCCAACAAGACAGTGCACAATGTAAAATATTCAAAAGCATCATTTTGGCACTAATTTGGGCATTTTTGCAATTTGCATTTTGTGCAAATATACCAATTCAGTTTTTTCCACTTTCAGAGCTCTGCAAGGCTTTTGGAAGACGACTAACAGGATATTATCTCGAGCGTTAAAAATAAAGTTGACATGTGCTCGGGGGATAAGTTAAGTAGGTCTGTTTTGTTGTTATGATATGCTGTGTGAAATTATCTCTGATTGCTCTGAAGACGGCGAGGGTCCCCATTCTCAGCGATACTGGGAATATGATCAAGGTCAGCAGTGGTTGCTGTGCCTGGAGTTAATAATCTCACTCGTTTTCAGAGCAATTAACTGTAACCCAGATAAAGAACTGACAACAGAGCAACAGAGAGAAAGCTGGAAACAAACTACAGATGACAGTTCCTCCAGATTCTCTCATATGAGGTAGAAAAACAGAAATCAGAGAGCAGGAACAATTTCATTTAGCTTTTTAATGAGTTGTGATTACAAACCCAGTCTATAAACGTATATTTTAAAGGGGCTCTATAAGGCTTTTTGGGGTTTTCTCTTTGCTGTAGTGTTGGATTTAAACAGGGCAGCTGTGACCGGTTGCTTGCCAAATAGTGAGCCCACGTTTATCTGTACTGCTAAGTCTTGTATTGGCTACCTAGCTTACTTCGTCTCCTTCATCAGCCAGCATCCTTGGTATCTGTTGTTCACTGAGTTGATTCTCGCTGAGTAGCCAATATAAGGCGTAGTCATCTTGCCAAATAGTGAGCCTGTGTTGATGTAAGGAAACTATGTTAGAACTGGTTTATAAATGGTTCTTAATGATTCATAAAGTGTTTACAACCTAATTCATAACCTAATTAGCATATAATAACATGAATCCTTTATAAGGATATACTTATTGTAAAGTGGTACCCTTAATAGTAATACCTCCATTGCACTCCTTTATTTACTACCTCAAAATAGTGACTCACTATGTTGCACTCGCACTTCTATTAGCAAGCGCTCCAACACATTGTACGTGATAGGCTAAGGGGCGGGATATCTCTAAGCTGTTGACCAATCACAACAGAGCCGGCCAGCTAGCCAATCAGAGCAGACTGGGCTCTGGTTTCAGACAGAGGGTGAAAAGAGGTGCTGCAGCACAAACAGTATGAGAACAATAAAGAGCTTTTTGAGCATTAAAGCATGGAGACATGTAGAGACACTACATACTGATATACACCTGAACATCAGCAGGAGAGGACTCTTTAAAGTAGAGACACTACATACTGATATACACCTGAACATCAGCAGGAGAGGACTCTTTAAAGTAGAGACACTACATACTGATATACACTGAACATCAGCAGGAGAGGACTCTTTAAAGTAGAGACACTACATACTGATATACACCTGAACATCAGCAGGAGAGGACTCTTTAAAGTAGAGACACTACATACTGATATACACCTGAACATCAGCAGGAGAGGACTCTTTAAAGTAGAGACACTACATACTGATATACACCTGAACATCAGCAGGAGAGGACTCTTTAAAGTAGAGACACTACATACTGATATACACCTGAACATCAGCAGGAGAGGACTCTTTAAAGTAGAGACACTACATACTGATATACACCTGAACATCAGCAGGAGAGGACTCTTTAAAGTAGAGACACTACATACTGATATACACCTGAACATCATCAGGAGAGGACTCTTTAAAGTAGAGACACTACATACTGATATACATCATGAACATCAGCAGGAGAGGACTCTTTAAAGTAGAAGACACTACATACTGATTACACCTGAACTATCAGCAGAGAGGACTCTTTAAAGTAGAGACACTACATACTGATATACACCTGAACATCAGCAGGAGAGGACTCTTTAAAGTAGAGACACTACATACTGATATACACTCTGAACATCAGCAGGAGAGGACTCTTTAAAGTAGAGACACTACATACTGATATACACCTGAACATCAGCAGGAGAGGACTCTTTAAAGTAGAGACACTACATACTGATATACACCTGAACATCAGCAGGAGAGGACTCTTTAAAGTAGAGACACTAACATACTGATATACACCTGAACATCAGCAGGAGA